GGGAGTCTCAGACGTCTTGTTACCTTTGTAGAGACGCCCGTGCGACATTTCGGGGGAAAAAGGCCAACGGCTTCGATGCCGACTGCAGGGTGCAGATCATCATCAACGGATAGTGTTTTGCAAGGGATGTACTAGAAACAAACTCATGGACCTGCGTATGGCGTCGCTGTATCCAAGACATTCCGCCACTACAGGGGCAACCAGGACATCCAGGCAAACCCTATGTGCTCAATTTGCATGTAATCTATGAGCTTTCTTCGATGAAGGGTATCATCCAGCCACCGTGGATGTGGTCCTTTTTGGGATGTATGCAAGGGGCGATGATGGCTGAAAGACATCTCCAGCTCACTGTCTCAAACCAATTTCCATGCATAATACACAGCCAACAAAGGTCTCAATCGCTCAAAATGTATGGGATATATGCCAACCAGAAAGTTATAAAAGGCCTCGAAACTCCCACGATATCGAGTCTCATTCCACTCTCATCCACAAGCATCTCACCTTCTCTACTACACTCTTCTCTTCAACCATCCTCTCTTAACCACATTCCAACAAACTCTCTGAGTTCCCATCCTCTACCGTCAAAATGAAGTTCTTCGCCGTTGCCGCTCTCTTCGCTACCGCCGCCGTCGCTGTTCCCGGTCGCCCTATTTCCTCCTCCTTCGAGGCCGACACCTGCAGCAGCCACGCCATGTGCTGCAAGCAGCAGGTTGCCTCTGGCAGCGAGCACCTGACCGAGCACGAGAAGGCCGGTCTCCTTGACGTCCTCGGAAATGTTGACCTCGGTGGTCTTCTCGGCCACAAGGGAACCGGTCGTTACTCCGACTGCGAGAGCCGTGAGTGTCACCATGGGTCTATCTATATCCACTGCTAACAGTTGCAATAGTTGTCCAGCTCGGTGGCAAGTGCGACACCAACGCTGTCTGCTGCCCTACTGGCTCTCAGGTAAGCCGCGTCCAATCCGTCTCGTTTTCTTTGAATGGAATCTGACTCCTACAGACTGGCCTCGTCAACATCGGCTGCGTCGGCCTCCCCATCAAGCTTCTGTAAGCTGGGACACGGCTCTCCACAACAATAATTGTGGCTTGCATTCGATTCGATTCTTGAACACCATTTCGCTTCTCGGTCTCTCGACATATTTTTCAACCCTATTTTTGGCTTTACGATAAAACACTTTTCTTTCTTGTGGCCGATGTACGGAGGAGCAGCCATTGTGTACTTGTATGGACTGCCGGTGGAACGCGGATAATAATGATAGAAGCATCCTGCTTCTCTCTGTACTGATTAGATCGGGGGTTTCTTTTCCTTCGTACCCGATAGCTTAGAAATTTAGAACCTTTTATTCTCTAATCCACATACACCCTGTGAGCTTATTCCTCGTTTCTTGCTGTGGTAATCAGCTTTTCGGTATAGCGACTTTGATTCCAAGTCTCGATTCGCCGGTTCTCAAGGATGCACAACCTCCGGTTAACGCAGAAGACTACTATTGCCACCGCTATCAAGATCATGGTGACGATCAAATCGGTCTTCGAATCATCATTCGACAGACCACGGACTTTGAAGCAGACTGACGGTTGCAGTATGCGCCCGGCATTCCGAGTTGTCCACTACGGATTGCCTGCAACAGCCTGGAAGAGAGCACGCGATCTGCATATGGTATTCCCCTATGAAACATATAGACCTGCATAGAACTGATTGTTTCTGTCTCGGCAATCATCATAGATCTGTCTGCCGGAACCGCACCCGAGACTCCGAACGCCAAGCCTGTTCGGAACCGTCCCGTCGTTTCCCCGGAATGTTCTCCCCGAGGACTGCACTCGCCTCTGCTCCTTTTTGTCTCCTTTTCATGTCTTTCTGTATATCCCGTCAGTATCATGGACAGTTCTGCCTCACCACAAGAGTCCCGTCCGTCAGATGCGGCGGATCGTCCGCATAAGCGTCGAAAGGTCGCCGTCGCCTGTGACGAGTGTCGCACTCGGAAGGTCCGGTGCGACGGCATCCAACCCGGTATGAACGGAAGGCCCTCCGTGATGCTGACCGTGACGTGTGATCGTGACTGACTCCTTCGCGTAGTATGTGGGCCATGTACCAAGCGAGCTGACCAAGGAGTGCGGTGTGTGTACACCGGGGAGCCCGAGAAGAAACGCGCCGTGCGCAAGTGAGTCTGGCCTGAGAATCCACCCTGTCTAGATCATGGGCTGACCCATCGGGAAAGTTATATCGCGAGTCTGGAGAATCGTATCAAACATCTAGAAAGCCCGGGCTATCACCCGGCTAATGTATCATCCGATCCTGGTCATCTAAAATCAGGCCATGCGCAAGTGAGCCAACTCATATATCCAGCAAGGCGATGCCATCTGTCGATGCTGATCTTCCGTCCTATAGCGACAAGTCTCTTCTTCACCATATGACCCAGTGTCCCCGTTACCCGCCGGTGTGCACACGTCGGCTCCGTTCACCCCATCGTTTTCAGTTCCATTGAATCCTCGCCAGCATGGGAGTAATATCTCTGCGGCTGCCGGTGGAGATCACGCTTCTCCGTCTTGTAGCCTCTGTCAAGGAACCCCAGGAAGCAGTAGTACCTGCACTCACCGAGCCACTCGGCCTGCAAGGGGCGAGGATGGCGTAAATGCCATGATGGGTGCGGTGGAGGAGGAGCGCCTGACTCAAGGCTTCTTTGGGAGCTCAAGTGCCGCAAGCTTCATGCGTCAGATCAAAACTGCTGTCGACAAGAGAGTGCCCTCTCCGTACCGACGGACATCGGACTCCGTTCTTGGAATTGAGCCTCCTTCTAGCCTCATGTCCACCCGGACACCGAAACCATCAGGTGTTCCCAACTATGTCTTACCGCCGAGGAAGACGGCAGACAGCCTCATGGAGGTGTACTGGAACTTTGTCTTCCCTCTGTACCCTTTGGTGGACAGTACCCTTCTGCGCGCAGAATACTCCAGAATCTGGATGGGAGAGCCTCTGCAATCGGATGAAAACATGCTGATGTGCACATTCAACGTCATTTTTGCCTTGGCTTGCCAGCTGGCGGACTTCATTCCTCCGGAGGAGCGTGAGGCCTCGGCAGATGCCTTCTTTTCTCGTGCGAAGGACCTTCTCCATTTCAATCTTTGGAACACCGGGTCGGCAGGCCTGATCCAGTGTCTGCTCCTCATGGCCCAGTATCTTCAGAGCACAGATTCTGCCCACCAATGCTGGATCGTCACGGGTCTGGCCATCCGGAATGCCCAGAGTCTCGGCCTACATCTTCCGCAAACGATTGCCCGTCTGCAGAGCCCACAGGAGCAACAGCTTGCCCGGAAGATATGGCATGGCTGCGTGTTGATGGATCGGTATGTTCTGACGTCTCATGTCCTTATCCGCCTAACGTGACTAGGGTTATATCCATGACTTTCGGACGCCCAGCTATGATCTCGAAAGCATCCTGTGGCTCGGTCCCTCTGCCAGCTACTATTGACGAAGAATATATCCCTGCTGCTTCGGGCGTCGAGGCAACCCAGCCTGCTGATCGGCCTTCCCTCATGGCCTTCTATGCCAAGTCCCTGGAACTATATGAGATCTTGAACGACATCCTCCTGAGTCTCTACAAACCCGTTCCCGAGGAGAGTCCCGAAGATATCTACGACTTTTACTTCAACAAAGAGAGCAGTGAAGGGGAGCACACAATATTTCAGCTGGATCGGGCCCTGACGAAGTGGACCAAAAGCCTGCCTCCTCACTTGCGCGGGTCTTACTATGCCGGCGGGTCTGGCAATCTAGTATTCTATCGGCAAAGTGTGGTTTTGAGGGCGAGGTGAGTCCAGCGCTCACTTTCATGAAATATAAATTCCTAATCCACAGCAGATTCCTTCATGTCCGCATGCTCCTGTTCCGACCGATCCTGTCGAAATACTGTACCGCGCGCGACATTGGCGATACCGACCCCCTGATTTCCATCCATGATTCATTTCCACAACGGGTTGCGCTGCAGTGCTCCATCATCTGTGTCAAAGTGGCCCAGGAAGTGGTTGAATTGATCTACACCAACATTCCTGCCGATGGAACTTCTGGTCCCCTCCCCGCGTGGTGGTATAATATTCTTTGTGAGACACCTTCCATCTTTCTGAAGACAAACCCTAACCGAGACAGACGTCTACACAGCGGCCACCGTTATCATAGCCGGACGCCTCTGCCCCGCTATTCTCGAGGAAGTCACAGAGTCTGCCCTGACACGATCCTGGAACTCTGCTCTTGAAATACTGCGCAAATACCAAAGCTACAGCACGTCGGCTCGCCGCTGCGTTGCGGCGCTTGAGATCCTGTATGAACGTGTTGTCTCGGAGGGACCCCAGCAAAACGAGCAGCCGACTAGTAATCAACCCGCAGGAGTGGCTCCGAGTAACACGAACGACATGTCCCTTGGCGAGGGCATGAATGCGATTCTCTTGGATGGCTTTGATCTGCCCGACTTCCAGGACATGTCTTGGCTGAACAGTGTTCCTAGCAATCTTTATTAATCGGTAGTCTGGGTACAGACTCTCCCAGGCATGAATGACCGATTAAGGTATGTCGACGCTGATTACTCTACAAGCCAGTTTACAAATTTCATATAATGAAACAGGTACATTTACCGCATATCTCTTATCGTGAAATGCCGCTGCTCAACGGCGGCTAGCAACAAATTGAATACCAATGATGGGGACCAGCGCACACACAGCAATGATGGCGCACATGACACCAGCTGCCCCCGAAAGCTTCAGCGTCTCGAACATGTGTGGGAAGTAGAAAGGGCCGATCTGGTGCAAGTCAGTGACTATTTTACTGCGTTGGAATGCGGTAGGCTTACAAATCCCCAAATATGGCGGTAGACGTTGATGCACACGCCAACGTCGGTCGAGTGCTCTTTGTAGCTGTCGACAGCAAACGAGATCAGGATCGTCGTGATGATCTGGTTGCCGAAGCTGGCAATGGCGGCGCCCACGCACGGCGTGACGTTCCACGAGGTGGCCTTGTCCAGCTGGAACCCCCAGACCAGCAGTCCGGCGATGACGGTGCCAAACCCAATGTAAGACACCCACAGGCGATCTGCCGGCCGATGGGAGCCCTTCTTTCTGTCAATATGTCTCAGGAACCAATCGGACATGGGTCCGCTCAGTTGCTCCCCGAGGACGCAGCCGATAATGATAGCAATGAACTGCAGGCCGATCTGCTGGGCGTCAAAGTGGAACCGTTCGCCAAACACGATGGGCATTTCAACGATGAGTGCAATGTTGCCATAGCAGAACACAATAGAATGAGCAATGGCGGGAATCACCACGCGAGGAAACTTCGAGTAGCACAGGGGCTGGACGAATTCGCGGAACGTAAGCGGACGGGTATCGACCCGGCGAGGAATGAGTTTGCTGCAGAACCCGCCATCCGGCTTCGCCTTGGGCCTCCCCACCACGTACATGGTCTCCTCGCCGATCAGCAGGTACACAATGAACTGGGCAAAGTTCATAATGGCAAAGAGCCAGTAGATCCACTGCCAGCCGATGTGCTTGCTCACGAATCCCATGATGAAGGGACCGCCCGGCGTGCCCAGCGTGAGCATCAGCGTCCACCAGCCGATCTTCTGCGCGCGTTCATGCGGCTCGCACAGTTCTGTGATTACGCCGCTGCCGATACCGATGGGAGGGGAGATGCAGATCGCGGCGATGATTCGAGTGGCCATCTGCGCGCCGTAGGTGGTACACCGCGCGCCGCCGATATTGCAGACCATGGACCCCAGCACGGAGAACATGAAGACGTGGTAGCGGCCGTAGACGGAGGTGATGGGTTTCCAGAAAATGGGGGTCAGACCTAGCAGCAGGATCTGTCGATTCGTTAGTGTCAATATGTCCTAAATCGTGGCGAATACATACCTGGACCGATGTGAAATAACTGGCCTCGGGCACCGTCACACCATAATCTTCTGCCATGGCATCGTACGCCGGAATGATACCTGCTGCCATGAACGTTGCCGCCATGGAGTGGAACGCCACCATTAGAATCTGGGCGTTCTTCTTCCATTTCGGCCAGTTGCGAGGGTGCTTGGGATCCTCCGCTACCCAGGAATCAATGATGTCCTGCTTCGGCGGCGACGGAGGGACATTCTCCAGGTGAACTGAAGTCTCTGAGCCAACGCCTTTTGCATTCTGCGTATATGGCGCTGGAGAAACGCCCAAATTGGACCCCATCGTTGCTGTATCGAGACTCCTTGACTCTGAAGGAAAGGGTAATGCAAGGGGTGAGATTGCGCAGGGTCAAGTCACAGGAAGACGTCTTGCTCTCTTTCCTCAGCAAGATGAGAACCTCCTGGCCCTTTATGTCTCGAGTCCACGACTGTCAATTCCGTCTTTAGTGGGTCCGGGGCCCCCATGGGGCAGATGGAATCAATGGTGCAGCCATGGACCCTCGTCCAGGACCCATCGTGGCGATTCGCGGTGGGATCATTGGACCAGCACTGGTTGATATGAGACCTTGGCACGCTTAAGCGAGAGGAATTGATTCCGGCGTATCTTGTGCTTGAGGGTGGATGCTTGTTTTCATGTCTACCCGAGGTTATAGGTACATAGATAGTAGTAGGCCGGATCGTCTTCCGACGGGGAGTCGGGTGCGCATCCGGACGACAATGTCCTTCAGGAGTTAAGAATATAATGATTGTCTAGTCCACAATGGACAGCCACTGATGTGTCTGGGCTTGTTGACAAGATGGAAGGGCTGGCGCTTTCGAGCTGAATGACCGCATCGCCATTCAACGCCCGCAGCCATATATCTCAAAAACAGCCCGTAAGACTCCTTGTCCTTGCTGAAGCACGGATGCAAATGCGACATCTTAATCACTAGCTTATCGCCATTGAGAAGAGCATTGACAATTTTGAAGTGGCATCTACATATAATAGAAAGCAATTCACATGTTCTCCTATGTGGATGATTAGTTTCTCTACTCCATATGGTTTTATGGGGCAGTATGTGGAAACGGGAGTGAGAGTGACGGGTGCAATAACATGGTTCTTCATAACGTCCACCACCATTATGATCTCGAAGCGAGACTCCCTCTTTTCTTTCAGTAGTAGTCCACGAGGTTACCTTCAAAGAGGGTGGCTTGTTCCCACGGCGGAACCAGCATGCATTAGATTCCCAGTCAGGCCTACCAAAACAGCAAAGCGGGCTAACCTGCATTTCAGAACGCCAACGACGCCTCGGTGATAAGGACGAGAAATTCTCCTAACGAGTATAAAATTACCTCAGTTAATAGTTATAGGCGGTCATGCTGACTCCTGGGAGGGTCTTTGAACGGCAGTTTCTCCCAACCTTCACCCTCACCATGACTACCTACAGTAGTACCTAGGCGCAGTCACATAGCAGGTGATTATTACTCCAAATAAATGTACGGGTGAAAAGGACCGAGCTTGACAGATAGTCACTGGCGAAGACGAAAGGCAATTATATTGGCCGTGATAGGAACAAGACTTGAATAATGTATGAAGCGGGGACGTCAGAATGACCTTTGGCTTTTCCCTTCTGTTTCTGTCTTCTACCTTCTTCAACTCCCCATTACCCCAACTCTCGTTTCTCCACGCCCCGGCTCGCTCAGCATTCTCCTGCCACCATCATTTTCATCATGTCACTGAGGCGCCATGATACTATCCGGAATACCATCCATGGGATGCGTTCACTGGGCAAGGCATTCAAGGAGTCGACACTTTCCACCGCAGACGACGCGATCCGGAGGACAAGGGAAAGAAACAGGACCATCGTGTTCTTGTCAAACTTGCTTGACGCCCTCAAAACAGTGGCAGATCCTTTCCTTAGTTCCTTTTTACTTGACCAGCTTGAGATCGAGATCCACCAAGGCCTCACTGGGGACCAGGTGCTCATGGGTCCAATCTTTAGACCGTGGTCTGCTGAGCAGATCAACGCTCATCCCATTGATATGGACAAACACGGCACTTCCCAATCCCTTCGCCGGTCCAAGCACGCTATTGACTTTGGTTCTCCCGTCCCTGGACTGTTTGACGGTCCTGCAGGACGCGTGGCCCGTGTTTCTGGCCTCATCGTTCAGCTGATGCACTGCCCTCGTAAGCCATCTGGCGCATCACTAGCGAACATTGCGGGCTGGAGACACTCGTAGGTATTCCTGCATTGCCCCGCGTCTTCAGGCTAGCTGACATTGAAATAGGAGTTGCCCCCTCCCATCTGGCTATAGCCTCCTGTGCACTAAAGGGTCTCGTTGGGAACCTAGCGACTGCTGGTTTCGTCCCAGCAAGAAGTCCCCTCACGTCAAAGTTTTGATGAGGAATACAATCGAAGCGAAGGAGGGTGAACCCAGTCGAGAAGAGATCTTTGTCATTGCATACATGATGATTCACCGCCTGCAGTCGGAGGGCATGGACAAACATGTCATTGCTCCCGTACGTTGTCTTCCTCTCTAAGCGTGGCAGCATGCCGAGCTAACTTTGCTCTATACCATAGGTCATGTTGCTTTCGATCATGGCTGAGTGTCACGGTAGGATCCTTATCGCGTATTGCGATGGTGGCAAACTAGTGGTCCAAATGTCGGGACTCCAGTGCTTCTACAGTCGCTACCAAGATTCGTACACGCTTATGATGAGATACATGGCCGCGGGTGACGAAGGAGATACAACCACCCTGCTGGCCAAGCGGGACCCCTAGCTGGCGGTCAGGGGAAGCGACAAGTATGTACCAGGGTGGGATTTCGATTAGAAAGGCTTTTGCTGGCCGTCCTCTTCCCTTCGTGCGAGGCAGAACGCTCGTTTTATTTCAGTATTATCACAGCTGTGCAGATCAACTACTTGGTCGAATAATGGAGAATCGACCATGGCGAGTATCATTGCTTTTCGTCTTCGTTAATCACTGGGAAGGATAGATGGAGGACAGTGAGGGTTAGGATGAAATCGGGGATGAATGGTGTCATGCCGTGATATTTAGCCTTACATCCCAAATTCATCGAGGTTTTTCTTACGCTAGTATTCTACGTACTGTCTGCCTTCCCTCTGTTGATGGGCTTTCGTCAGCGCGGTATCAAGGAATCCATGAGACCTCCCCAAGGCACAGATTAACTATCTTGTATTGATCTTGATATACCCCTTTTGCTCTATGCCCCCGAATTGCTTCTATCCACCCCTATAGCGTCACGCTATCTCGCACTTACAGCCCTGAGCTCCAGATCCCAGTGTGTCATTTATCTCCGAGGCAGTGATACTACCGGATACTACCCCAGCCAGAGTTATTTGCTTGGCTGGGCCCGATAAGGCGAATGTAGGAAGATGACTGGCCATGTCGGCACTTGGCAGTAGTCAGGGACATACCAACACAGCGGGGAAGCCAAGAAATGAGGGGATGTGGGAGGAAAGACGGAGTACAAGAGGCATGGAATCGGCTGCTCTTCTCTCCTTTGTGCTACAGGTAGAATTGCTTTTTCAAGATGAGGCCGACTGCTTTCACGGGTCTTTCTCTCGGCCTTGCCTCTCTATCGAGTGCTGTCAAGTACGGATACAACCATGTCCCTGTTATACACGACTCGGAAATAGTTGCTAGTGCATTCGAGAATGTCGACCATATTGAGCTCCTGTCCCCGGCGTTCATGACACCCGACGTCCGACTTCCTGGATTCCCCAATGGCACTCAAGGACCGTCTTTTCAAGACGATATGGGTGAGTCGGCTTCCATTGAGAGTGGACACTATGCCATGAAGACTGACCTATGATTAGAGACGTTCCTTGAGGAACTCGCCGAGCGCAACAACTACATGACCTATGGCACCGCGGACTTCACCTCAGAAGAGGGCCGCTCGTTCCCCTACGTCCACCTCTCGTCTAGTCAGGGAAGCCCCCTCCACCTCCACGATCCCGGCTCGAAAGTGCGCGTGTGGATCCAGGGCGCTGTCCATGGCAACGAGCCCGCGGGCGACGAGGCCACACAAGCCCTCCTGGGCAAGTTCGACGCCGACCCTGAGTGGGCGGCCTCAATTCTGGACAAGCTGGAGCTCTTCATCCTCCCGAGGTATAACCCAGACGGCGTCTTCTACTTCCAGCGTGCCCTCGCGGTCAACCTTGACCCGAACCGCGACCATATCAAGCTGGCCCGCCAGCAGACGCGCGATATCAAGCAGCTCATGAATGATTTCAATCCCCATGTTATCGTCGACATGCACGAGTACACTGCTGGGTCACCGTTTGGCGAGGGACAGTACGTCCACGGGTCTGACGGCTTGTTCTCGGCCGCGAAGAACCTCAATATTAACGAGGGTATCCGCCAGCTATCCGAGAAGCTCTTCGCTAAGAACATTGCCGATGACATGAAAGCGGCAGGCCTGCGCGCCGAGCCATACGTCACCGGCTCCTCGGCATCGGATCCCAAATTCGTCGCGGACTTCGTCGAGGCAGGCACCGACGCCAAGATCGGTCGCAATGCGATGGGCCTCACCCAGGCTGTCGTCTTCCTGCTCGAGACGCGCGGCATCGGCCTCGCCGACCAGGAGTTCCAGCGACGCACCGCCGCCGGCCTGACCATGCTCGGAAGCATCGTCCAGACGGCCGCCGATCATGCGCAGAAGGTTCTCACAAGCGTCGAGGGCGGGATCAAGGAGTTCATCCAGTCAGACGACGATATCGTCGTCACGGACTACAGCACAGTAGGCATCCGCCCCTTCACCATGGTCGACACGACGAATGGCAGTGTGGTCCACCCGGCCGTCCGCTTCGCATCTACGACCCCGGCCATCGCCAACCTGACTCGCTCCCGTCCTGAGGCGTACCTGATCCCTGCGGCCTGGGTCGAACTCGCCGAGCGCCTGCGGGTCGCTGGGCTGGAAGTTGAGACGCTGGACAAGCCGTTTGAGGGGACCGTCGAGGCGCTCACCATCGCCTCGACCGAGGTGGACACCTCTTACTACGAGGGTGTGATTCGCGTGACGGCGACGACGAAGACCAAAGAGCGTGAGATTAGCCTGCCCAAGGGGAGCTTCCGGGTGAGTACGCGACAGAAGAATGCGGCGTTGGCGATGGTGGCGCTCGAGCCAGAGAATATTGACTCGTACGTTTCGTTTAATATTGTGCCTGTGGAGGAGGCGGATGAGTACCCTATCTTTAGGGTTATGTCTTAGCAGATATATATTGCAGCGGGGAATATAATGGGCAAGCCAAGCTTAAAATCCAAGTCATGAGGTCCTTGAGTATATATGTGTATATAGTGTGTCCGCTGAATGACCGGCGGGATAGTGATTCTATGCAGCCGCAATGTCAGGGCCGCCGTCTGGACGCAAGTACACCGGCGTTCATCATACAACTTCCGCAAAACCTGTTCGAATCAAGATCCTTCCGACAAAACAAGTCAGTCGTATTTCTATTCCGTCAGTGCTGTTGAGATTCTTATAATAGTCCTGTTGTCGCCGCCTGTCACACAGACCCTATATCAGCATTGCCTCCCAGATATGCAACAACACAAAGACCCAAGTCAAACAAACTCTTGACTGTTGAGGAAACGATATCGGCTTTACAATATACTGTCTCGGTCTTCTTTTCATCCCCGCATCAGTTCAGACATCCCTGCCGGGTGAATGCTGGCCGAGGAAATTTTCCGTCCATACGAGCTGTCCATCCCCGGTAACTACTGCAGCCGTTCCTGGACCTCCGCAACGGACCAGCGCTTAGCGGCCATCCTGCCAGCCAGAATGTTGGCCGTGGCAGGGTGGAAAATTCCCTGGGCTAGTGCAGCATCCCGGGGCGAAAAGCTTGGTCACTCTGCTTCGGGGTATTGGGTTACCGATGGTGTGATTTTCCAGATTGATTAAGCCGGGGTATAAGGACCGCTCGTCCGCCGCAAAATATGCACCGGGTTCAACCCGCATAGAGATCCAACATGCGACTGAGCGTCTCCCTGGGGTTGGCGTCCTTATGGACTGCCATTGGCGCCACGGCCCTCAATGTCTCGCAGACGAACAGCTCCATCACCCTCGCCAACGACCGACTGACGGCGATCTTCTCGAATGCAGGAAAAGTGGTCGATCTCTATCTCGACGGTCAAGATCTTCTGGGCCCGGCGTCTGGCTCCACCGGTGTTGGTCCGTATCTGGACTGCTACTGCACCCCGAAGGGATTCTATACTGCCGGGTCTACCACTCCCCGCATGGAGGTGGTGCAGGGGACCGATGCGACGGGCACACAATACGCAGGAGTCATCTTGAACGACACGTATACGCCCACCGGCCAGCAGTTCCAGCAGTACTGGTTCCTTCGCGATGGAGAGACCGGCCTGCACATGTTCAGCCGGCTGGCTTACTATAACGAAACGACTCCGTTCCTGCGCAACCTGCAGGAGTTCCGCACGCTCTTCCGGCCGAACACGGATCTGTGGACGCACTTGACCTCTAGCGAGCTGCAGACTGCCCCTTTGCCCAGCGACGAGGCTGTTGGCAAGCAAGTCGTGGTGCAGGATGCTACGTGGCGATTCAACAACACCCCCAACGACGCCTACTACACTCAGTTCTCGGAGTACTTCACGAAGTACACCTTTTCAAACGGTGCGTGGTCTTTCATAGTTCTCTTGGGCCAATCTGACTGCTTCTAGCGTGGCGGGACAACAACGTGCACGGGCTCTACGCTGACGGGTCTACCTCGAATGGTACTACGTTTGGAGCCTGGCTTGTGATGAATACTAAGGTCAGTACCGATCCACGGAGCACTGGTGCATACTGACAGACTCAGGACACATACTACGGTGTACGTCCATCGTTTCCGCTATGATGCCCTCAATCTTACTAATCCACACAGGGCCCCCTGCATTCCGATCTGACCGTAGACGGCATCGTATACAACTACATCGTGTCCAACCACCACGGAGAGGGGACGCCCAACATCACGAACGGATTCGACCGCACCTTCGGCCCGCAGTTCTACCTCTTCAACGGCGGAGGCTCCTCCAGCCTAAATGAGCTGCGATCCGAGGCCGAGTCGCTCGCGGATCCGTCGTGGAATGTTGAGTTCTACGACTCCATCGCCAAGCACGTCGTTGGATATGTGCCCTCCAGCAAACGAGGCAGCGTCCAAGGACAGATCAAGCTTCCGCGCGGTGCTACGCGTCCGATCGCCATTCTCACCGTCGATGGTCAGTACTTCCAGGACAACTCGGTCGACCCGCGCTCCTACCAGTACTGGGTGGAGATGGACGCGAATGGAAAGTTCCAGTTGGACCATGTCGTCGAGGGAAAGTACCGACTCACGGTCTACGCGGATGGCATCTTTGGCGACTACGTTCGCGACGGGGTTCAGGTGCGTGGTCGCAAGACCACTCGAATCAACGATAGCTGGCAGCCCGAATCGGCCGGTGTCGAGGTTTGGCGGTTGGGTACTCCGGACAAATCCTCGGGAGAGTTCCTCCACGGCGTCGCGCGCGACCCGACGCATCCTTTGCATCCGCCAGAGTATCTGATCTATTGGGGGGCCTACGACTGGCAGCAGGACTTCCCTAACGGAGTCAACTACACCATCGGAAGCAGTGATCCCGCCACGGACTTCAACACCGTGCACTGGTCGGTGTTTGGCCCAACCCCGGACAACCCGGATGTCGAATACGATACTACCCACGACTGGGCCATCAATTTCTCGCTGACGAAGAAGCAACTGCAGAAGCGCAAGACCGCGACGCTCACGATCCAGCTTGCGGGAGCCAAAACCGCCTCTGGGAACACGGACGTGTATAAGCCGGACGAGCCGTACACCAACCTGGCGCTGGAGAGTTATATCAACCAGCAGGAGGAGCCCTTGACCATGCTGATCGGGTTCAACCAGTCGAGCAGTTGCATCGTGCGGTCTGCCGTTAGTTGCTACCAGGTCCGGTCGCGCATGACATTCCCTGCGGACTGGCTCCAGGTGGGATCAAACACGCTGACTTTGCATCTGCCGCGGAATGCGACGGACGTGGAGGATGCTATCCTGCCCGGGACGGTGTATGTGCAGTATGATGCGTTGCGATTGGAGCTGTCTTAGACTGTCGGGGCTGGTAGATTAGTGATCGCATGGTTGTTGCTCGGTTTGAGATTTTCAGGGGTCTCCTCACTGCCCAGACTGAGTAGCCGAGGCTATACATACATGCGAGGCGTGTGATTGTTTACATTGCCCATTGCACACTGCCCACATACAATCTTCCAACAGTAGTCACATCCTTGTACATGAAGTTTGAATGGAAGACATCATTCTGGTGTCTATCATGTAAGAACCGTGAGGAATTGAACTCCTTATGATCACAAATCGCAAAGGGGTATTACCGCATTAGGAAATGCCTCGGCACTGCAGAATCGATAATCGGCAGGCGGTGATTGGCCCGGCTGCCCTCTATATAGTAGATGCGATCGTCACTTTTTCCCCGCATATTCTTTCATATTATTATTCCCATTCCATCCCTTCTTCCTCTCTGCCTCTCTCCCTCAACCTACTCCTCCACCATGGCCAAAACATTCTCGCGCGACGAGGTAGCACAGCACAACACCGAGGACTCCCTCTGGTGCATCATCGACCACCGCGTCTACGACCTCACCGATTTCCTCGACGCCCATCCCGGCGGCAGCGTCGTGCTCGCGCAGGTCGCCGGCCAGGATGCCACCGAGGCATTTTACAACCTGCACCGTCAGGAAGTCCTGGACAAGTACCGCGACGAGCTCTGCGTGGGCACCGTCGCCGGCGAAACCCCCGAAGTCATCAGCCCCGAACCCGGCAGTCTGAGCCCCGTCCCCTACGCCGAGCCGCTGTGGCTGCGTCCGCAGTTCAAAAACCCCTACTACAACGACAGCCATCGGCGGCTGCAGCGCGCCGTGCGCGAGTTCACCGATCGCTATGTCAAGCCCGAGGCGCAGGAGAAGGAGAAGGATGGCACGTACATCAGCCAGGAGCTGATCGATCGCATGGCCGAGACGAATCTGCTCGCTATGCGGCTGGGACCGGGAAAGCATCTGCACGGTCGGAAATTGATGGGTGGGGCTGTCGATGGAAAGGAGTTTGACTATTTCCACGATTTGATCGTGAGCCAGGAGCTGGTGCGGGCGAACGCGCGAGGTGGGTGTTGTCTTTCGAAATTGGTGCGTGGGTGGAATGCTGACTTGTACTCCTGCAGGCTTCTCCGACGGTAACATGGCCGGCATGGCCATCAGTTTGACCGCTGTCCAGCAGTGGCTGCGCAACGACCCCCTCCGGGAGAAGATCACGGAGGAGGTCCTGTCGGGCCAGAAGAAGATGTGTCTTGCCATCACTGAGGCTTTTGCCGGTAGCGACGTTGCTGGGCTCCGCACGACGGCGCAGAAGACCCCGGATGGCAAGCACTACATCGTCAACGGTACCAAGTATGTCATCTTGATCCTATCATCATCATGAGACTAACCCCTGCAGGAAGTGGATCACCAACGGCATGTTCGCCGACTACTTTGTCACCGGCTGCCGCACGGAGAAGGGCTTCAGCGTGCTCCTGATCCCGCGCGGCGAGGGCGTCGAAACCAAGCAGATCAAGACCTCGTACTCGACCGCCGCGGCCACGGCGTTCGTGCAGTTCGAGAACGTCAAGGTACCGGTGGAGAACCTCCTCGGCGAGGAGCACAAGGGCTTTATCGTGATCATGAGCAACTTCAACCACGAGCGGTTCATGATGGCCTGCGGCGTCATCCGCATGTCCATGACGATCGTTGAGGAATGTCTGAAGTGGTGCAACCAGCGCATTGTCTTTGGCAAGAAGCTGATCGAGCAGCCCGTCATGCGACAGAAGTATGTTTCCTTCCAGGTGCTCCACCTATCTTCTAGCTTTGTGCTAACAATATCTAGACTCGCCCGCATGATCTCCCTGTGCGAGGCCAACCAGGCCTGGCTCGAGTCCATCGCCTACCAGATGTGCAACATGACCTACGCCCAGCAGTCCGCCAACCTGGGCGGTCCGATCGGTCTGCTCAAGTCGACGGCCACCCGCGCGGCGCAGGAGATCGCCGATCAGGCGACCAACATCTTCGGCGGCCGTGGTCTCACCCAGACCGGCATGGGCAAGGTGATCGAGATGTTCCATCGCACGTACAAATTCGACGCCATCCTGGGCGGGACCGAGGAGATTCTGGCTGATTTGGGAGTTCGACAGGCGATGAAGAAGTTTCCCAAGGCTATGCTGTAGTTTATTGTATCTATAGTTGTGAATAGAGCTCACGCTTAACAAGTAAGCCGTTTAGCGCACAAAGTAAATAATGTGAAGCAATTGAGTACAGACGGTGCAACATCGCTATAGACACATGTTCACAGTTGACGCAATAGCAGTGGTATTCGTCCACTGATACAACACAACCACACCCTTCAGTCCCATACAGGCATCTCCTACTAGCCATCTCTAACCGCAAAGCGAAACCTATCCTTCCGATCCAAATACACCACTTTCCCCTCCAACCCGGCCTTCTCAACCTCCCTCTTAAAATCCTCCAACGGACTCGCAAACACCTCATAATCATCATAATGAATCGGAATCGTCAGATCCGGGCGTATCAACCGGATCAACTGCACCCCCTGCTCCGCATCCATGGTGACCATCAGCGCAAGCGGCGCCAACGCCGGCGACGGAACCATCGTGCCGCCGAGATGCGCCAACATAAGATCGATGGGTTTATCCGCGTAACGGTGGGGGATCTCCTTCAGCTCGTCGACCAGCAGCGTGTCGCCCGAGATGTACATTCTGTAGCCGCAGACAAAGTCTGCGTCTGCACGTGCGTCTGGCTGGGTGCCGAGCTCGAGCATCCAGCCGTTTGTTGGGGGGATCTATTCTTGTTAGTTGTGGGATGGATGTCTAAGTGTAGAAGGGGGGCTCACAGCATTGGCTAGCGAGTTGAGGCTTTCCGCGATGGAATTGCTGGGGACGTGCTTGCCGGGCATGCCGGTGATACGGAGTTGGCGTTGTGGGCCAGCAGAGTCCTTTATATCGACGGTTGCTGTCTCGAAGGGGTCCAGGGCGGAGACGTTGGTGAAGGAGTCGGCGCCTTTGTTGGTGAGGTGCGAGTGGGCGTGTGGGGTGGTGATGATGGGGAGATCACGGCGCAGGGAGGCTTCTACTTTCTGGTCAAAGTGGTCTCTGTTCCTGTTAGGCTGTGCCTCATATGCAAGTATTTGGATAGGAATAAGTATACCCATGATAATGAGAGAGTAAGACCAGGTCAATACGCGGAAGAGCATGCAGGTCAACGGCTGGATTGGTACGCCGTGCACTCGACACCCCGGGACCGAGATGGACATGGTCACCCGCGTGGAGGAAGTTGGGCTACTCGACACCGTCAATTCGATGGTCCCTCTCGCGATGGAGGCGAGGTATACTAACATCAGTCATGATCCGGATACCGGCCCATTCTCTATTCCGGTTATTCTTGCGGACCGCTACCAATAGATAATGGATACCTACATGATGACGGTCGCCGTCCCAACGAAAAACAATGATGCATTTTCACCGCCGGACTTGAAGGGATGCACTTTGACTTCCTTTGCGGATGGGAGCCCATCTGGCACCGCGACTCCGCTGGGGAGGTCGCGCGTTGCGGGTTGGTTGTTTGCTGGGTCTAAGAGAATGCGCTGCATTGTTATGATACTAAATTGGAGTTCTGTCAGTATAGAGTGATGGGTTGATGAATGAGGGAGCAATTGTAGCTGTCACGGATGCATATCAGATCACGGCGTCAAGATGACGTCAATCATTGCAATAGACATATGATATTGTACAATACTTGTTGAGAATTCAAGATCTTGTTAGATCTATTTAAGGGACTAGAGACGTCAAAGAAGATTCATGTAGAACCTAGCGTGCTCATTGCATGAGTGTGTTGTATGCTACGGTCTACCTGAGTGGAGTATGAAGTACCAGGCATCCAAAGCGGACACGACCACAACAAATATCGATCGTCTAGGATTACCACAACACCATGTAGGCGGATGTGGCTAGTTCTCTACTATGCAGGAAGACCATTATCCGAAGTTATACTATAGGTTGCTCATTAGCCAACCTTGCATTCTTCATGGCCTACGCATCGAGCAATAGTTAATAGTTGCCCACGCCACTCCACTCCCTCAACGCCTGGACATTCACACGACTTGTTTATGATCAGATCCATGTATGTCAAAACGCTTGTTCGCTAAAGACTACAGCCAGCTGCGATGCTCAAATCATAAATACATGAACTAATGCCGCACCAACGACGCCACCTTCTTTAGCAATTTCGATGACCCCGAGCTCCTCCTCCGCCGTTTAGGCTGCATCTGCTTGATCTCCCTGATCTGCCACAGCACCGCCAACAGACTCGCCACAATCGTCGCCTCTTGCACATGATTCCCGCCCTCTTGCACCAGCAGAATTCCTTCGCTGTAATCTGTCGGCAGCCACACGACAATACCTACATGGTCGTAGATCGCGAGGACCTGTGGAGCAGCTGGATCACTTGATATAACTTGATCGTCACATACAGGCCCTAGATCGACCAACGTGTAGCGAAACAGATTGTTTGGCGCAGGATGGACCTGCCACTGCACCAGTCTCTCTGCTTGATTTGGGCCTCCCGGCAGTCGGAAAGTGAAGTACGGGTGCGGAATGAGGTATTCCCCTCTGATGCTCGGGCTGAGCGGATAGGATGCCGTCATGGCGATCGACCGGCCACCACTGTCATCAAAGGGATTCGTAGAAGCAGTGACCAGGGCGCATTCACCTTCTGGAGGCGAAGGGATGAGGCTGTCAACTTCTATCAGCTAGAGGAACGACGAGCAACGATGAAACACACGGCGGGTTTACACTTTGACCGATGCACCATGATCATACGACAAAGTCCGTCGCTGCACGTTCAACTGGTAGTTGTTCTGGAAATCAGGCACCGTGTCCATATCGACCAGATAGTCGACCGCGACGTCCATGCCGTCTCCGCGCGGTTTCGCAATCTGACTCAGTTGCATGGAGTAGAGGTTGCTGCCGAACTCGCTGCCTTCGACGGCCGTCTCATATTGGTCTGCCACATCGTATAATGGTAGGTGCGCGGTTCCCGAATGGTGGCGTGGTATGTACAGGGCCCTGGTGAGCTCGTGCGTCGGTTTGTAGGGGCGAACACTCAGCACAGGGTCCCGCGATGATCTCAGGTGCGGGGTATCCCGCAGCATGGGGGTGCAAGGATGCACCTGCGGCACAGAGGTTATCTGCTGTGACACGAACATCGATAGCAGCGAGTACAATTCGGATCCTTTGAGTGAATTTGTCGAGGGTGTGATTTCTGAACTGCGATGATCAGCCTGTCCCTTTCTCCGATCGACTAACCGAGGTCAAGCACAGCCCATTGCGCCAAGATGACTCGATAACGAATGGGAAGAGGCTTACCCCATACGGTCCCAGACTACCAAATTAAGCTATGCGCGTGGTTTCTGGGGCCATTCTCCTCCAATCAGATGAGCGGCTGTTTGGTAAATCTGGCCGAAATGACAATCTAACCGGGATAGGTTAGGGTCCTTCCAGTGGGTGTACATCCCCAATTGGGTAATTAGCCCAATCTGGTATGCTTGCGGTGAAGCACATCGAACAGCACCCCGCCACATGGCTGACGGGTATAAAAGAATAGGATTTCTCATGAAGATTATGGGCGCTCCATCTTCTCACCCTTATATTACCCATTACCACACATCCCCGTTCACCATGACTTCATCCAAAGAATGGAAGAAAATGGTCAATGGAGAGCTCTACTGGGCATGGGATGAAGACCTCCAGGCCAATCGTGACAGATGCAGGGCTGCATGTCAGCGATTCAACGAGGCCGGTCAAGTCTCCCGACGTCGCAGGGTGGAACTATGGAGAGAGTGAGTGAACCCATGATCTATCACGGGGCGATGCCAGCATCTAATGGAGTTTGGCTACCTATCAGCATTGTGTGCGATACTCGTCCGCTACCCCCAGTGCACCCAGATCCCAAAGAGGACGAGAAACTCTTCAGCGACACCGATCCCGTTGTGGAGCCCCCCATCTCGGTTGACCACGGTATCAACTTCAAGGTCGGGAAGGGGTCCTTCTTGAATTTCAACCTTCTAGTCCTTGACACCTGCTTGGTCACCATCGGAGAAAGAGCCCTTTTTGGACCGAATGTGTGCATCTACGGCGCCACGCACCCGCTGGACCCTGCCGTCCGACGCGGTTTAGAGGGACCAGAGGCGGGGAAAGAAGTCCATATAGAGGATGATGTGTGGATTGGAGGAAGCGCCATGATATTGGCAGGGGTTAGAGTCGGACGAGGAAGTACAGTCGGAGCTGGTTCTGTTGTGACCAAGGTATGAGAGGGATGGGTATCATGATTAAAACTTGGCTAACCCTGCTAGGATGTTCCGCCGTTCCACTTTGTCGCTGGAAACCCTGCTCGGGTGATCCGTCGCATCGAGACCAGTATGGACCCGGAGCAACAGCAGTCAGAGGAACCCAACGGCGCTTGAGCTGTTCGGCCTCCAATCTTCCTTGAGATATCACCCCAGCACACTTGCCAAGTGGTTGTCGAATTCTTTCATCATACACATACAGCATTATATTTTTCAGCGATAAGTAGATCGATTCATATTATAAGATAGTCATGCTGCCGTGCAAGCTCCGGGCTATGCGTCTGATACGTATAAGTCATCCGTATGTGCATGTCGGGGGAACACTCACGAATTGTGTCCACCAAACATTTCTATCGTCATCAGATGCCTGCGCAGCACGAGCACTCCATACCTTTTGCAACAAATCTCCAGGGACAGGATTCCGAACTTCCGACCGTCGCATAATCTCGTAGATTCGTGTGAGCACGTAATACTGAGAATGCGCGGCGAGAGCGTCGGCTCCTGCCATGAAGAGAGGGAAGATAAGGAGTTCCAACAGTGGACACTCTTTATCGATGCCAGCAGTAGTGTCCAGTATCTTTGCCACGCAGTCCTGGACTTCCGTGGCCTTTGCAGGTCGGAGAGGATCTAACAGTCGAAGGATATGCAATATACATGCATATTGGAAAGCTTCTGCGACTGACTCCCAGCGAGGATCAGAACTCGGATATGTCCTCTCCTGCCGGTTCCAGGAGTATAGCTTGTGTTTGGCCAGAATCAGGGAGATCTGGTATTCATCCCACGACAGCCAACCTAGGCTATGCTCCTTTGACTTTTCCAAGACGTTTCCTATTATTAGGAAGACTTCTCGAGGGCAGCCATTGACCATCTCGAAAGACTGGTCGCTCACGCAGGCCACCATTTCGCGGATGTCTTGAGAAAAGCACAGACGTTCTGAGCCGGCGAAGGCACGAATGATATCTAGCCTGTGTATTGTGAGCCATGTACAGGTACTAATATGACTTGCCGAAACCCACCATGCGAGGTTACCCAGAAAGAAGACCGCACGACGGCGATGACCGCTTAGCCCTTCTGTGATCAGCAGTCGCTTACAGACAGACATAGCTCCTGTGATATGGATTCCGTGAGTCGATACTCCGGTCTCGAAAATCTATAAAATGTCAACCTAGTAAATATGAACATGAGACGAAAGCACTCACGTCGTGGAGCAGGAGGATCTGGATAATAGCGAGAATGGCGTCTTGTTCATCTTCAGGCAGAGTCATATTTTGGCTTTTGCGGATCTCTTCGCTGAGTGCACGAATCGCTTTCATGCGGTATTCCACTGCCGTCTCTTCATGCAGGACTTTGTTTCCAGCCAACTGGCCCAGGTGAGAGGCAGATAGCCCAAGTACGGCATATAGAAGACCTATCTGCTTTTTTGCCAGTGGGATGATATATGACCGATACGGGTTTTGGGGACCGTCCCCGATTTCGGAGATCTGGTGAGGACAAACGAATGTATCATCTGGCATGCGGACGTTTGTGTTAGCAGATCATTTTGTTACTTCAACACGCGAGTACTCGTACAATGTGACAAGAGAGACTGCGTTTCGGTGAGACTCAGCAACCTGGCAATTTCGTCAGATGTCTCTCCTGCACACTCGACCGAGTTTCCGGAAATTGGCGGGGTTTCAATGGGCTCTTGAGCGTTGCCTGTCTGATATTTGGCATCGTCTTTATCAGTCTCCGGTGTTAGTAATTCGGTCGTTCCCTGTGATTTAGCGTGACTCGGTCCAGAGCCAGCGGCGAAAGCTCTTCCCCGGATAGGAGCGCGTGCACCCTTCCATTTACCCCGACTAGCAATGCCGCAAAATCTGAACTGTTCGGGGTATCCCCCACATTCCAGACCCTTTGTGATACAGCGGTTACACTTTGGACGGCCGCGATCACATTTCCGACATTTTTCCCGACATGTCAAGCAAGCAGGGCCTCCTAGGACAATTAGACGAGATGCACTTCACAATCTTGAACATTGGAGGAAGGTACTTACTACCATCCCGTGGCATTTCACCGAGCTCCCGTTGGAGCCTCGCAGTGGCAGTCAGGTACGGGAATCTAGAGGCATGCGTCATGAATGGTTGCCTAAAACACGATCGACAAATAATTGGGTTGAATCATGACATACTGCAGAAAAATTGCATCTAGGCCCTTGGGAGGGTCGGCACGGCGGTCGTACTACCTGACCTGCTTGGGCATCAACGTGGTCGAGAGTTGTGACGATGATGCGGTTGCTGGCTGATTTGCCCAATGAGGCAGATTGCGGGGCGTTTTTGTTCCGATGCCTGAGGCTACATTATCTGACTCAGCCGATAACGAACCGCCGATAAGCCGGAGAACCTTAAAGGCGGCTTCCATCATCGCCCCCACATCCATCCGACAGCTCTCCCATTACTTCCAGGAACATCCTCTGTTCATCACCCCATTCAAACTGCCAACATGGTCGGAAACGTCGACGCTCTCAGCTTCGAGAATGTGTTGTCACTTGCCGCCAGCGCTCTGCGACGCGATGATAACACAGACGTCAGTCTGAAGACGGCTTACGAAGCTGTCGCTCTCATCGGCCATGCATGCATGGTCGCCGTGGGCTTCAGACTGGTCGGACTTGGAGAAGAACATACCATTGGTTTGTTTCCTCGCTTTTTCTCGAGTGCATTCACTGACGGTCATGCCACTACCAGCAAGCTCCGAAAGCCTCTCTCTACCCTCCGAATGGAATTCGAGCGACACCTACTCCTTCCGCTATGCGCACTCACAGTCCTCGATGCAATACCTGCTGAAAATCAGCCGCCTAGGCAATAATGCCGTTATCTTTGCGTTGGCTCTAGGTGATGACCGCACGACATCGTTCGACCTCCCTGTCAAAGATTTCGTCTCCGGATCCTCCCTCCCCCTATCCTCCACGACGGATGTGACCAACTCTCTCAAAGATGTTTTCATATCGACGTCCCGATTGAACGACTTGATTGCACTGTTCAAGATCAACGTGATCCAGAGGCTAGCCCCCGGACTGTACAAAGAAGGATATGAGGACAGCAGTCGATCCACACGCGAAGAACAACCGCAAACACAACGACCCCAGCGCGACCCCTTGCGAGACGATACCCTTCCTGCCCCCGCGCGTCCTTACCCCTTCGATGATCCCTTGGCTGCAGCGCCCCGTCGACCCGGGCCGACGGTCGACTTTCCTCCTCCGGGCTTCGAGGATGAATTCGAGATTCAACGACCTCCCCGCGGGTTTCCTCCCGGCATGGGCGGTCGGGGCCCACTGAATATTGGAGAGCGAGACCTGTATCCAGCTGGGCTGGGGCCGCACGACCCCATATATGGTGGCATCGGGCCTGGTCTTGGCGGAGCGGGCGGGGGCGGGATGCATCCCACTTTCGACGATCCCCTGTTTGGTGGACGCGGAGGCAGACAAGGGTATGATCCGCAGAATCCTCCCGGGTCTCGGTATGATCCTGTCGGGCCCGGAAGCGGACCGCCGTTTGGCAGAGGAGGCTTTGGTGGACGCGGCGCGGGCGGTGGATTTGGAGGATTTGGGGGAGATATAATTTGAGGGGCATAACTTGAGGAAACTCAATTTGGGCACTGGTATATTACGATGGGATGACATATTTTTGACACGACGCTACGCCCGAATGAATCTGTTGCTTTGAGTTGCTGGGTGGTTCACTGAACATATTAGGTGCTTTGATGTGCAACAATGTATTGACACGCAATGTTGTTCGATTGTTCAAAAGTCTGATTAGTCGAACGAATGCTTTTTGCCATGTCGGGTTCAGACCATCAAGATAGCAGTTCATGAAAAGTATTATGCAGTTAATCGTATTATTATATACCTACCGGGCAGTAGATATGACCTTACAGGTCCTGGAGCCTAAGGCCGCAAGGTCTATGACTCGAGAGTACCTAATGATATCATCCGCCAGTCTTGTCTGGAAGGACTGTCCGACATGCAATCAACGCGGTACATGGCTCCATACCCAATCAGTATCCTGCATATTATATTAACGTAATGTATTCCATGGCAGATGTGTTGGACATGTGGTGGACCAGGTCTTGGTGGCAAAATCAAAGTCCAGTTAGTTATATATATCACTGCGCCACAAGCAGGCTTACTCGCGCTCCCAGATCGACCATGTATGATGGGTTGGGATTCCCTTGAGAGTAGGCAACTCCTCTGTCTAAAAATTATCTCAATAATCATGAGAATAAAAAAGCAATTTCGTTCAAGAAATTCTATAGATGAGTAGATGTTGATACTGGATGGTGGCTTGTTTTGCGGTGGCGCACGGTCCACTCCCTGGCAAGCTAACAAACCTGCACCGCCAGCAAATCTCCCCTTCCGCACCCACCACCACCACCACTCACCTCTTCCTCTCCCCAGCATCCACCATCAGCCCTTTCTTTCTCTCCCCCTCCTCCCCTCCCCCCCCATCTAATCACTTCTTCTCCATCATATCACTCTCGTTGGCTCCCTCCACTCGGGTGTTCGCTTCTTCCTACATCTGATCTTCTCGGTTCCTCCCGTCAATTTCGCTTTCTCAGCTCTTCTATTTGTGCGGGTTCCCTCTGTCCCCCGAAAAAAGACCTCCCCTCACGAGACCATCCATCCCCGGTTTTTCTCCCTCGCCTTGACGCCTGGCCGCACTACTCTCCAATCCCACCGCTGTTCTCCGTCTGTGTGATCTCTCGCAATGGATAACAACATGGAAATCGATACGGCGCGGTCGCCGGAGCCCCACCACCTGTCGCCCACCACCGACTCGGGGTCTATACCGACACTCGACGGGTGGATTGAGAATCTGATGAACTGCAAGCAACTCGCAGAGGAAGATGTGCGGCGGCTATGTGACCGGGTGTGTGGGCCTTGAGAGTCGTCTGCGTCGTCGCGAACCCGATACTAATTCATCCCTGGGGTCTACAGGCGAGAGAGGTGTTGCAAGATGAGTCGAACGTTCAGCCAGTCGTATGTGTTTCGTCCGGTCGCCCTTTGTCCTGGAGAATTGGACAATACCAATCATCTCGGGTTTTACTCATGCTGACTACTCCTGTCGCTGTAGAAATGCCCAGTGACCGTCTGCGGTGATATCCACGGCCAGTTCCATGACCTAATGGAGCTTTTCCGGATCGGTGGTCCCAACCCCGACACGAACTACCTGTTCATGGGTATTTCCCATACCACCTGGCTCATTCCTCTTACACTCGTCTAATTTATTTCTAGGTGACTATGTCGACCGTGGATACTACTCCGTAGAGACTGTCACACTCCTCGTCTGCCTCAAAATCCGTTACCCCCAGCGTATCACCATCCTTCGTGGTAACCACGAGTCCCGCCAGATCACCCAAGTCTATGGTTTCTACGACGAGTGTCTGCGCAAGTACGGCAACGCCAACGTCTGGAAATATTTCACGGACCTTTTTGACTACCTTCCCCTCACCGCCCTCATCGAGAACCAGATCTTCTGCCTTCACGGCGGTCTGAGTCCCTCGATCGACACTCTCGACAACATTCGCTCCCTCGATCGGATCCAGGAAGTTCCGCACGAGGGCCCCATGTGCGATCTGTTGTGGAGTGACCCCGACGACCGATGCGGCTGGGGTATCTCCCCCCGTGGTGCTGGATACACATTCGGGCAAGATATCTCGGAAGCATTTAATCACAACAATGGCTTGACTCTGGTGGCACGAGCCCATCAGCTGGTAATGGAGGGATATAATTGGTCGCAGGATCGCAACGTGGTTACCATCTTCTCTGGTAGGATGCCCTGGTTGATTCTATCTTGACCCCACTAACTGTGTTCAGCCCCGAACTACTGCTACCGGTGCGGTAATCAGGCTGCCATTATGGAGATTGACGAGCATCTGAAGTATACATTGTATGTGATTCCAGCCGCAAACCATTGGACTCTTACTGACCGCCCAGCTTACAATTCGACCCCTGTCCCCGCGCGGGCGAACCCATGGTCTCGAGACGCACACCCGATTATTTCCTGTGATCTGATCGCGATAGATTCCTTCCTTTCTTCTCACCTCTGGCAAGTTGAGGTTTCTGGGCCCTTCGACAGGGCTCCCGCATACAGCCAGGCCGTCGTCTAAATAATTGTATGTCCGTATTGCTGGCCGCGTTGATACCATCATGAAAATACAAGACTTCCGCAAGAATACCTGTCTGGCTATTGTGTACTTGGATTTGGTACTAGAATTCGTCCTGGCTGGGCGATTGGCGGCTAATTGATGTTGATTTTATGAACTGGTAGCACGTAGATGCATTTAGCCATGCATTCCTATGATATGGGTATCTATTCGTGGATATGTGCTAAATACTCGTCATATCATGCTGTATATATCACCGATGGATATCCACACCATCGGAGGTTAGGCAATGCGAATGCCATACTTCTCGTATGGGAAGTTCTCCAGCGTAGGTATCAGGTCGGCCCAGCCATCGTTGAGAGCCCCAGGCGTACCAGCTCCCTTCATCCGTCCCGCAATAATCTCATCCGCCTCTTTCTCCGCCGACGACTTCTCCTCCTCCTTATGCTGTCCAGTCAACCCAGCCAGCACCTCCGCCTCACGCCCCTTATACGCCTCCAACAAGCCAGGATGCGGACACCAGACAACACGCATCCCAGCTCTCCGCCCCGCCTCTACCCCCGGCACCGCATCCTCAAACACAAGACACTCCTCGGGCTTGATCTCCGCCTCACCCCGCTCCCGCAGGTTCGTGTTGATTGTCTCCAGCGCCAGCAGATAGATATCGGGCAGGGGCTTACCGCGGCCCTTGCCGATGCGCGGGTCATCGCCGAGCACACGCTGCGACGCCGGAAACAGCGAGAACAGATCCTGCAGGTGGTCCGTCTTCAGCGCGTAGTTCTTGCTGTGCGAGGACGTCGCCAGCGCGATGTGCACCGGGTGCGCGGTGGCCTGCGTCGCGACGAGGTCGGCGAGGAGTTTCCGCACGCCGGGGAGGGGCTGCGACTGCGGGAAGTATTTGCTCTGCAGGGCGGCTTGTTTGGAGGCGTATTCTTCGGGTGTGATTGGGAGATGCGCCCAGTCGTGGAAGATCTTGCTTGCCTGGGGGGTGGTGTTGGGTCAGTATACAGCTTTGTGTCTAATGGTGGGGAGGGGAGGAGGGAGTACCTCGGGCTGCGGACGGCCCTGCAGCTGCGCTTTGATCGACCACGGCAGCGTGGGCTTGCCGTATTCCTGCAGAATGGCGTTGGTAATGGCGGTGTACTTGTCCTCGGAGTCGATGAGCA